AAAAAAAAAAAAAAAAAGTAAAAAAAAAGCGTAGCTAGCTACAGGGCCAGCCTACTTACTACCTGACAAACAGCCACGACCTCGGCACACCCATCCGCGGTCCGCTCTATTTGAGCCATCAACTTCCGATTCTACCCAGCATGAATCAAGACGTGGCTGAAGTACTCTCCCTATCTACTCGGGAGCGGCAAGCAAGGTGACAACGAAAGGTGAAGCTGATTGCAGCTCTTGGGGTTACGTGACTGTCCTCACGGAAGCGAAACGAGCTCTGCCTTTGGGCGGAGAATTCCCTTTCGTTAACCAAGTACATGTCAGAGCATTCTTGGGACCAGCTGACTAGTCCCCTCTGTTGGTTGCCCCCTAGTTACGAGAGACAGTGATGCATTCACCCTGCAAGTGTCTATAATATGCCACATTCTTTTTTTTCTTCTGTGCAAAGTTGCAAACATTCTATGCTACACCGACTGAGAGAACGCACGTTGATGATCTCCTCCTCCCCCCACGCCCTCCACCACGCCTACCTTGAGTTCTCATTGACGATCATACCATTGTTATGTACCCGATTACAGCCCCATTGGGAACCGTGATTTATTGCACCGTCCATCCATGACGATTCACTCACACAGAGTCACACTTGAAACACCAGGAACTGTGTCCCTTACCAGTTAGGTTTTTTTTTTTTTTTTTTTTTTTTTTTTTTTTTTCCTGGAAACATACAAGACCCCATCTATTCTGGGGGGCATCAGTCCGGTTGCTTATCACTGGCAAGCATGAGTTCAAGCACGATAGTTACATGGATAGAAATCAGCCAAGCCCTTGCGGTACTAGTCATATGTCACATGTCAAGGGGGGGACCGCTACAGGCCATCCCACCACCCAAACCATAGCCTCCCCTGGGGTGCTTCTGCTGGCCGGGAAGCTTACTAGCAGCACCCAGAGACGCAGCAGAAGGATCCCAGGGGTGGCGGGGCGTGGGTTGGGGGGAGAACCTAGCAGTCTCACTGCCCGCTTGTCTCCTCCTCTTGGCCAAGGTCTCTCGAGGAAATCCAAAAAGACTTATTCCTATAACACCCGTCTCCGACTATAGCTGTGCTCCCCCTCATCCACCATTCGTTTTTTTTTTTTTTTTTCATCTAATTGCATTGGAATTTGAGCTCAGGTCTGTGGTTCAACAGTTTAGGGGTGTACCAACTGAGCTAGGCCAGTTGGTTCTAGTCTACCAGTCAGTTCGGTTCTGCATTATCATTTTGGTACAGCGATTGTTGCTTGCTTTCACAGGGTTCAATTGGCTCTGATCCTGCCGATGTGCTTTGACTCTTTTCTCTCTTCAGTTGTGTTGCACTAATCATCCTGTACGCTACTCTAACATTTCCAAACAACAGCAGTCGTGTCATCCACTTTGCTTATTGGTTTCTTTTGTTGCCAAACTGACTGAAAAACTCGAACACTTTCGGACCTGGTTGGTTTCTTTTGTCGCCAAGCTGACATGACTGAAAGTCTGGAACACTTTCAGACCTGGTGGTTTTTTTTTTTTTTTTTTTTTTTTTTTTYTTTAAACAGGTCCTTATGGTCCTGGCTCCATATCAATTCTGGGGAGCGTCAGTCCAGTTCCCTCTTTTTTTTTTTTTTTTTTTTTTTCAGATAACGGATCCTCTTGGCTCTGGCTCCTACCATTCTGGGGAGCGACAGTCCGGTTCCTTTCCCCCGGCAAGTCAACTAGGAATACATAAGAGACTCACACACGCTCACCCCCATTAAGGCTGGGAGGCCCGAGTAGACGGCATTGATTACTTCCCTGAGGAAGGATGTACCACCTCTCACCCCTGCCTAAGTTACCCTCTGCTAATTTTGCCTACCAATCCGTCTGATCCCAGATCTACCCCTCTCAGTTGTGAAACTGTAGGGTGGCTGTGTTATTCGAGAGCGTTCTGGGGCCCCTGTGTTCCTCTTTTGAGGTCTCCCCCTCTCTTGAGGTCTCCCCCTCTAAATTCCTATTGGTTTTGTTTCCGTGTAAATCCTAAACGCCAGACTCTAAACCCTAAACCTTAAACCCTCGGTTGTCAGACTATCTTGTTTTGCCCATTTCCTAGAATGAAATAGGAAAACCTGTGCCATTCCTGAGCCATGAACCCTGAACCTTATCTGAGGGGTAATCCCTGTGAACTATCCTGGCCTGTTATTCTTGGGTAGCTGCGGGTTGAAGCTAGCTCTGTTTGAGATTACCTAATAGGCTGTCTTTCCTGATAGCTGGGAGTGGAGAATGTATGAGGATGCAAGGGGGAGGGGGCAAAGTTGTTTTGTTGGTATTTGTCGTTATGGTATTGGATCGAGATGGGAGGGTGGGCTTTAGTTGGGGATGAGGGTTTTAGTGGATGTTTCGGGCAATTTGGGATTGTGGATGGGGAGAGTTTACAGGGGGATTGGAGGGCGGTATATATGGATATCTCTGTGTTTGGGAGGGTTTTGGTGTGGGTCTGAATGTCGAATTATGGTGGGGCGTTGCTTTGTAATAGGTGTCCTTATTTTTAGTGGTTGTTCGGTTGTCTGGGTGTCCCCGGGGGTGAGGGGGTGGTGGATTTGCTGGGGGGAGGTTCTATGTTGGGGGGTAACTTGGTGTGGACCCTATCGTGTTGTCTTACTCTTGTTGTGGGCTTGGCTTGAGAATTGCCCTTCGGACTCAGATCCTCTGGTCTGCTACTTGATTGGGGCGTGTGTTGGAGTTGTCTGGCGAAGGGGTTGGTATTGTCCTTAGGGAGGTTATAGGCTTGTGATCGTCTTGAGCTGGTATGACTAGCCAATTCTTAAGGATTAATCTATCTCTCTCGATTGAGCCTAGTTTCCCATTGCCTAGCCTTGTGGTTGTGAATTTCCTGATGATTTCCGTTCTTTTATCTGGCATTTCCTGAAACTGCTTTTTTGTTTTGTTCCATAAAGCCTGTATTTCTGTTTCGATGATTTGTTTGATGGTTATCAGGGGGTTCTCGGATTCGATACTGGTGTCGTTGAAGTTCGCTGCGCATCTCCTTTTCCAGATTGCCCATAGTGTGCCCTTCCTAATTAGCGAAAAGAGGAAGTGTTCAAATCCTTTAAGGGGGGGGGTTGTTCTGTGTCTAGGAAAAGGGTAGCAGGGTTGATTACTATCTTGCTGTTGGAAAGTTGGTTCCAGGTTGTTTCTATGTCTTGCCACAGTCGTTTGGCTTTTGCGCAGTCTATAAAGCAGTGGTTGAGGGATTCGTCGGTTTGTGAATTGCATACCCGGCACCATGCCGCTTGTTCTGTTCTCTCTTCTTTTCTTCTTCTTTGTGATAGCCATAGATTGACTGGGACTGCCCTGAAAGTTATGAGCCATAGTAGGCTCGCTAGCTTGGTTGGTTTTGTGCAGAAGATAGAGGAGAAGGCTGGATTGATGTTGGGTATTGGAACCGAGGTTTCTTCTTTTTCCCATCTATTCTGCAGTAAGGTTGGTACTGAGGTCGGTTTTGATAGCAGCCTATAGCCCAATTTAGGGGTGTAGTCGGTTAGCTTGTGGCGGTGTTCTACGAGGCAATGGGGGTTTGATGTATTCCAGGACCACTCAGTTGGGTCAATTTCCAGGTAGCGTAGTTCTGTTTCTGGCTTGTAGACCCTGTTTCTATCCCCTTCGATTACTCTGATTCTTCTGAGGGTACTAACCTTAAAGGCTCCTTCTGCTCTGCTTTCTTTGCTGAGGAAACTAGCCGGGTTACCTGGTTCTTCTAGGGTAAAGATGGAGCATAGAATCCATTCTTTGTAAAATTGCTCGTAGTTGATTATTTTGAGGACCTCCTTGGTGGTTGTTTGTCCCTTCTGCGCTGCCCAGTCTCCCCCCAGCCATAACTGGGTTGATCTCAGTAGAAGTCTCCAATCCATAGGTATACTTTCTATGATCGTGGATATGTTGGTTTGTAGATTGTGGCTTCCTTTCAAGATTGCCCTTGGTTCTCTCTCTCGGATTTCCAGGTCTTTGTGTCCTCGTTCCACAGATGCTGGATCTGCCACACCCCCTTTTCTAGCCAGTTGCCCCATTTGGTGTTGGCTTTGTTGAGTTGGATACTGTGGCCGTTCTCATCTAAGATCCAGGGATTGCCAAAAATTGGTTGCCTGAGGACTTCGTCTCTTCTTTTGGGGCCTATTCTGTTTTTTTGGGAAAATCTTTCTCCATTGGAGTATGAGCTGTTCCCAAAAGGATTTGTTGTTGTTTGAGTTCTCTTCG